CCCCCCCCCCACCACACAGACACATCATTTTAATACCCCCCCCCCCCACAAACCCCCCCCCCCCACACGAAACCCCCCCCCCCCCCACCACACAGACACATCATTTTAATACCCCCCCCCCCCCCCCCCCCCCCCCCACACCACCACACAGACACATCATTGTAATACCAGAGAGAGGAGAGCGTGCTTTGTTCTCTGTGTGTGTGTGTGTGTGTAAATGTCACTGTGTGTCACTGTGTGTCACTGTGTGTGTGTGTGTGTGTAAATGTCTGTGTGTGTCACTGTGTGTGTGTGTGTGTGTGTGTAAATGTCACTGTGTGTGTGTGTGTCACTGTGTGTGTGTGTGTCACTGTGTGTGTCACTGTGTGTCACTGTGTGTGTCACTGTGTGTGTGTGTGTCACTGTGTGTGTGTGTGTGTGCGTTCCCTCTCTGACCATGTCTTCCCTCATCTCTGTCCTCCTTCCTGACTCACTGGGGTCAGTGGAAATGGAAATGTGGCCCAAATGTGATATTATGTTGACCAATTTCTGGTATTTCTCCTCTCCTCTCCTCTCCTCTCCTCTCCTCCTCTCCTCTCCTCTCCTCTCCTCTCCTCTCCTCTCCTCTCCTCTCCTCTCCTCCTCCCTCCCTCCTTCCTCTGTCATCTTATTGCTCTGTAGGGATCTGGCCCTTTAGCATTGTGATCTTGTTTTCACAAATATACACCGTTGAGGTTATGTAGTTGAACGGTTGTAGGGTTGTATGGTTGTGAGGTTATGTGGTTGAACGGTTGTAGGGTTGTGTGGTTGTGTGCAGTTAATTTGCAAAGTGGATAACAAGGAGGTGTAGAATATGGTTGTTTTCAATTTGCCCTCCCCATTGCTCCTAGCTCGCTTTTTTTACGCTGACGGTGTATTCGATGAACAGTTTGTGTGCAAGGGTTATTCCTCTGTCTCTATCCATTAATTAGACCTACACGTGGGCTACCTGCTCCTGCGCTAGTTGGTTCAGTTGCTGTTCAAACGGATTGCCAGACTGCCAGCACTACAATACTGTTAATTAGTGTTCTGTGAATTAACTGATTTAAAGCAAGCAGCTGTGGTTGAGATGAATTAGTGGGGCGTGAATGTTGTGTTCATTACCATCATTACCCTGACAAGCATTATGTCTTTACATCACAGAGTTAGTTAGGAGGGAGGACTGGGATCTGGCTATGAAGGTCAGACAGATATTTAGTTAGTTAGTTACATAGTTGCATAATTAGTTACATAGTTAGTTACATAATTAGTTACATAGTTAGTTACATAGTTAGGTACATAGTCAGTTACATAGTTAGTTACATAGTTAGTTACATAGTTAGTTACATAATTAGTTACATAGTTAGTTACATAATTAGTTACATAGTTAGTTACATAGTTAGTTACATAGTTAGTTACATAGTTAGTTACATAGCCGCAGGAAGTAGGGGTGCTATTGGTGCTGCAGCACCCCCAGATAAATTGAAAATAAATAAATAATAATAATAATATATATATATATATATATATATATATATGTATATATATATATATATATTTTAAACTAAATCATATTACTCCTGTGTGAAATAGGATCAGGTTTGTCCCCCATGTTCATGTTAAAAATGCTAAACTGATCCTATATCAGCCCTGGTCAAAAGCAGTGCACTATATAGGGAATAGGGTGTCGTTTGGGACGCACGCTTATGCCTAGTGTGTGAATTAGCATCCATTTTGATCATCTTGTTTGTTCTAACGACCGATTTCTGTTCCATTTTATTTCCAGCTTCTGGTGGGAAAAGTGAGCTTGTGATATTTTTACTCATTGTTGCTATGACAACGCGGCACTGTGTTGTTTTGGGTTTGGTGAATCAAGAAGGGAAGGAAAATGAACTGACTATGTAACTAACTATGTAACTAACTATGTAACTAACTATGTAACTAACTATGTAACTGACTATGTAACTGACTATGTAACTGACTATGTAACTGACTATGTAACTGACTTGAATTGCTTACTTAATCAAGTGTGTTGATGGTTGTCACGATCGTCGTTAGATGAGGTGGACCAAGGCGCAGCGTGATAGGCGTACATACTTTATTAAATGTACAACACGAACCAAAACAACAAAACAAACGATACGTGAAGTCCTGGGTTAAACAACAAACCTTACGGATCAAGATCCCACAAAACAAAAGTGCCAACAGGCTGCCTAAGTATGGTTCCCAATCAGAGACAACAAGCAACAGCTGCCTCTGATTGGGAACCACCCTGGCCAACATAGAAATACGTGAACTAGAACACCCATAGACAACTAAACATAACAAGTCCACACCCTGGCTCAACATTTAAGAGTCCCCAGAGCCAGGGCGTGACAGTACCCCCCCCCCCCAAAGGCGCGGACTGCGACCGCGCCAACCAAACACAACAAGGGAGGGGCCGGGTGGGCATTTCGCCTCGGAGGCGGATCCGGCTCCGGGCGTGACCACCACTCTCTCGCTACCCCCCCGTAGCGCCCCTGGTCTGGTCCCGCTGGCCGGAGCTGGACTGGACACCGGTGGAGCGGATTGCTCAGGCTCCGGTGTGGAGCAGCTGACACCGGTGGAACAGGCACGGACCGTGCCGGACTGACGACGCGCACCACTGGCTTGGTGCGGGGAGCGGGAACGGGCCGGACCGGGCTGACGACGCGCACCACTGGCTTGGTGCGGGGAGGAGGAACGGGCCGGACCGGGCTGACGACGCGCACCACTGGCTTGGTGCGGGGAGCAGGAACGGGCCGGGCCGGGCTGGCGACGCGCACCACAGGCTTGGTGCGGGGAGCAGGAACGGGCCGGACCGGGCTGGCGACGCGCACCACTGGCTTGGTGCGGGGAGCAGGAACGGGCCGGACCGGGCTGACGACGCGCACCACTGGCTTGGTGCGGGGAGCAGGAACGGGCCAGACCGGACTGACGACGCGCACCACAGCCTTAGTGCGGGGAGCAGGAATGGGGCTGACCGTACTGGGAACACACACCACTGTCCTTGTGCGGGAATCAGAAACGGGCCGGACCGGACTGGTAACACACCCCAGTAGCTCTCGCCGTGCCTCTACACTACCCTTCTCCCTCGTGACCAGTGGCCCCCATAACCTGGCGGCCTCCTCTGCTAACCTGCCGAACCGCTCTATCACGGTCTCCCGCTGCCTCGCCGTCCACGGTGTGAGCCCCCCCCTAAAAATGTATTGGGCTTGTCTCTCCCCCGTGAACATGGCCTCCATGGCTCTCGCCAGACTCTCACTCTTCTCCTCCCACGTCCATCCTCTCTCCTCTTCACGCTGCTTGATCCAGTCGTGGTGGGATCTTCTGTCACGATCGCTGACAGATGAAGCGGACCAAGGCGCAGCGTGATAGGCGTACATACTTTATTAAATGTACAACACGAACCAAAACAACAAAACAAACGATACGTGAAGTCCTAGGTTAAACAACAAACCTTACGGATCAAGATCCCACAAAACAAAAGTGCCAACAGGCTGCCTAAGTATGGTTCCAAATCAGAGACAACAAGCAACAGCTGCCTCTGATTGGGAACCACCCTGGCCAACATAGAAATACGTGAACTAGAACACCCATAGACAACTAAACATATCATTTATCATTAGATTGATTAAGTTAAGCAACAGAAAACCAGTGTGCCTTTAGAAGAAGCTACCCCATCACACCATTAGAAGCCCTAACTGGAATGTGCTGATCTAATGGATCTGTCAGGCGTCTGTTTGTCCAGCCAAGTTAAGTATCTGAAAAACCCAGTCTTAGTAACAGTGGCTAGTGTTGTGAAAAGCCTCAGGGGTATATATGGCTAGATAACAGTGAGTGGCTAGTGTTGTGTTGTGGAAGGCCCCAGGGGTATAGATGGCTAGATAACAGTGTGGCTAGTGTTGTGTTGTGGAAGGCCCCAGGGGTATAGATGGCTAGATAACAGTGTGGCTAGTGTTGTGTTATGGATGGC